GAAGGTTTGTCAGTAATTTGTCTTCACATGTAATCGGGAGCTATTAATTTCTGTTATGCAAGAAACTTTTCTAATGCATTCAAGGTGTTAGACCAAGTTCGTAAAAGCCTGACATTGTGAAGATGGGTTTATTTTATTTCATCTAAAATCAGAGCCAAGTTGAGCACGTGTTGGAATTAAATGATTTAAATGCCAATTTAACTTCCAAATTCCATCAAGGTGTTAAGTGAAATGGTAGGCTGGCACTCATGGTGGCCAAATAGTGTACATACATTCACGGAAAAAAGCGCACTAAATGAAAGCCTTTAAATTCTAGAACTCAAATAGAACTAGATCGCATGTATGTCCTAAATATCTTGCCCACAGGTGACTATGTCCCAAATAGCTTGCCCACAGGTGACTATGTCCCAAATATCTTGCCCACTGGAGACTATGTCCCAAATATCTTGCCCACTGGTGATGATGCCACGTTAACAGACATTCCAGCACGCTTGTTGTTGTTGGTAGTTGATAGAAAGATCAAGATCAATTAGATGGTTCTATTCCTTGTTAGTTGAAAAACCGAAAGATCTAGTCGGGTAGGGTCGAATGACAGTGAAACTCGGTCTTTGGTAGATATTGAAGGATGGATGGGTGGTATTTCGTACCAACCCATATCTTGACTTCTTTTAATCCTTGCGCACGGTTAATTAACCACTCTTATACAAATAAATATATAGCGATTAATGTTTAATAACTTGCATGAGGCTCAGATAGACGAGGAATCACACGAACAGATGTAAGAGATCTAAAAACCTATGTTATGAATAATTTATCCCTGTAACATTCAAGAAGTGATAATGTAGTCTGACAACTCAAAACACGAGGAACTGAGACGTAACGAAATGTGGTTTTACGTCCTACTTTTCAACATTTGATGATGCTAATGAAGACGGACAACAACAAACTTCTGAATTGTTTTAATATTTTTATAGCATGTTAATTTTGAAGACTGACATGGGCGAAACTTTGAGCGAATTTATATTTGTATGCTACATCTGTAATTAATCAATTGATGCATTGTTGTCCATCTGCATATTACATTATACACATGTACAATAATCTCATTTTAATTACCCATACAAGTACTTTTGAAGCCCGAAAAGATGCGATGCATATACCTGTAAAATTGCATAGTATATATCATGCTAACTAACTTTCTATGATGCATATTTGCCATCCTCTATATATACATTACATAACATTTTCAACTATCTGTAAATGATAGCTCTAATAGAGAGATAGAGAGAGAAGTTATCAGAGATCTGTACTGATATAAAATTCCAGGTAATATAATTAATTATAACCTCATTAAATACCGTACGATTCATTGACTTTTAATCAAAATCAACTGTTAAAATTAACACACCTTTACAACCTTCTTTTAAAGGAATTCATTCCCGTATTATATTATTTTGTACCTTAAAGGGATTGTTAAGAGGTTCTCTAAATTTATATGTGTATCAGGAACACTGATAGCATCAATTTCCACCATTCCAATTTTCAATCAGACGTCAGTGGTTCCAGTTATTTTATAATACAGGACCATAATTATGGGATGAAACACTGATGACTACACGGGTAACTTGTGTTAAAACGTTATGTATCCTGTTAATCTACTAGAAATTACTGTTTGATGACTGAATTGTGCAAATTGATACTTTCAGTGTCCACCGATACAAAAATGATGAAAACATCTTAGCAATCCCTTTAAAGGGCATAGCAACCTTATGAAAGCGAGTAGGAATGTTTATACATACGAGTAATGAGAAACGAATACAATAAAAATGTCTTGTATCTTGTAAAATTTATCTTCACCATGTTTCTTCAAGAAAGAAAACAACGGATTCATTTCATTCAGTTATTTTTACTATAAATAAAGCAAGCAATCTGATCTTAAGCATTCCAAGTGTAAACTTGCAAAATTCGCCTGTTTTAAATTTGTAGCATGTTAGTAGCCTAGTAATAATAAATATATTTATAACAAGTATATCAAATTATATATGATTAATGTATCAAAAGCACATCGGTAGCTATGCGGACTCTCTGAAAAGGACGCCTAGTTCCATTGTTACAATTCTGCTAATATGCGTTAATTTTATTCATAAGTGACATCTAGTCCTCAAATAAACATTATTAGTTTTGTGGACTCTCTAAAGTGATGAAGTACCAACAGGTGTTCTAAGACTGTGACTTAACGAAGTTCCATTGTTAAGAGCCATGATCATATTTAACAAACAGTAATCAGATTATATAAGACTATTGATCATTGACAGTAATTAGAGATGATAATAGTTCCGAACAAACACGAGTTGGTCGCTACAACAATAACAATTTTTAACCTGTTATACCTATCATCTGAGAGAGAAAATCCTAGCAAATCTAACTTTGGACCTGTATTCAAGAGCTTCCACCTTTACCCACTCCTCGCTTAATTCCTCCTTATTTCCTAAACAGGTGCTAAAAGTATAATGCAAAGCTTTCTTTCGTGTCATTTTCACTTCCAGTGCTTATGGCTATATTAATCAATAACCTTACAATAATAACTGGCCATATCATCATTATATCAATTGACGTCTGTCCACTCTCGTTATCTCTAACCTTGGGCTATACATTGGTCTTCTCAGATTACTCACTGATCAATATCATTATGTTAGCGTTGATCATTTATCAGCTTTTCAGCCTCTTTAAAATAGCTGACCACATCTGTCATTTGCTATCTCGTTGGATTGCGTGGGTCTGTGACAGAGGAACGGATAAAAATTGGGGCCCAGTTTCAGGAAATCACAACTGGTACAAAGATGACTACAGAATAACCCTCCTGACTTAGTTACCGTAATCAGATATTCGTTTTGAAACTACCCGGCTTTTGGTAGGTATTTTGGACCGTTATTGTCTGTCTATTCTTTGTCACAGTTGGATGAAATCTTACACAGACTGAAGTACACAAGTTGTTGGTCTGAATCAATCCATTGTTTCTACAGCCTAGGTTGAGTACGAAATTTGTTGGTCTGATTCAATCCGGTGTATCTACAGCCTAGGTTGAGTACAAAATTTGTTCGTCTGGTTCAATCCGTTGTATCTATAGCCTAGATTGCGTAAGAAATTTGTTCGTCTGATTCAATCCGTTGTATCTACAGCCTAGGTTGAGTACAAAATTTGTTCGTCTGATGCAATCCGATGCTACATATAGCCTTGAGACTAATAATTAAATAGCAGATCTAAATATATCCGAAAGCAATTATACAGATAATGACCGACATCTAATCCTCTACCCTAGCGTCCATAACTCCCATTCCTTACTGATTATTATTGATTATTCTATTCTTAACTTCCACACCTTATACTGCTTGTAGTTGGTTTGATATTACATGAGTATTTGGTAGAAAATAATGAAACAAACAACCATTACCACATGGGATCCTGTATAAAAACTGATCTTTCCGGATTTTCCTTTCACCTTTACAGCTGGATCAACTGGAATACTGAGGAAAGGTGACTCATTGAAACTTGAAAGTCGCCAGACTTTCTCAAGCAGACTGAAATACCGACATCGGAAGCCACGACCACCATTTGTGTGACGTAACGAAGCAAAAGACTTCATGCAAAGATTCCGTTTCTTTGACAGATTGTGCTAAAGTTCGCTTTCCATGTATATATGTATATTCAATAAACACAATACACAATAAATACACATCTACTATTGGAAAATAAGCATTGTTTTGATCAGTTATTCAACGTTTCATTAAAGTTAAATTGCTATTAGTCTAGTATTATACGTGTCCACAAGGAATACCTTCACGAGAATATCATAGACGATTATCTATTACTTATGTATAAAGTTTGAAAGGAAGGTGGGATGGGTGGCGAAACTAGTAAATCAACCAAACGTTTTAATAACAAGTCCTTCAAAATTTTGAGCAACAGGAATTTTCAACCCCTTGTTTGTCTTATGATTATATCGGCTTACCATTATCTATTACTAAAGTATGATGTTTCAATGGAAGCCAAACTAGTAAATCAAACCATCGATTTCAATTATAACTTCTTCAAAATTTCAGGCAACGTTAAATGTAAACCCCTTGTTTTTAAGCATCCACGTGGAATACCTGAGGTCCTGAACGATGAAAGGACAAACCAGTAAATCATACCATCCATTATATACCTGCAAGAGCATGTCGCATGACGGTTACGTATTACTAATATATCAGGTTTAAATGGAAACAACTAAATCAAACCAACCGTTCCCATTACTATTCTTTCCTGTTTTAATTCCGGTTCTTATTGAGAACGTTTACATCGATAAAAGACCAAACAATATAATTGAAGGTTGTTAGAGATGAAATAAGATGAGAAACTTAAACGTGTTGATTTTTTAGTCATGTTCTTAAGGAAATGACATGTTTTACAAACTGCAGGCTAGAAATTATGTAATTAAAAGCTTAGTATTGCAAAGAAATAACACATATAGTCTGATGACAGAGAGAAATAAAGGGATTGCAAGGATGTTCTTTTTAACTTTTTATGTATCGGAGAAACAGAGAGTATCGATTTGCTCCATTCCAATTGTCAGTCTTGTGATTTCTTCTTTCAAGTCCATTTTTTAACTGAATAAAAATTGGAAAGGTGCAAAGCGATGCATCGGTGTCCCCTTAAAAAGTATAGAAACCACTGTACAATTCCAAGATCTTCTTGATGGTTTCAGCTTCGAAGAGGTTCCGAAAAGAATACCTGTTCACTATTTTGTCAATTCAACAGTTTTCGACAGTTTCCAAAAGCAGGATAATTCTTTGTTTTATGCATATGGACTGGTCAGCCGCTCCCATTAATCATTTAGTTTTAAGGGATTAGGGGCCACAGAATTATCAAGGGGGGCTTGCCGCACCAGAAATTTCAGAGCCAAAGCTACGCAATACGAAGATACGAGAAGGATAAGAAAGAATTTCTAAAAGGGGCCTTACCTGTCAAGAACTAACTCTTCTAATTGTCCTAAATCACAGGCTACATATTCCAACGATGCGTCCGTTATTCTGGGACACCAAGATAAATCCAATATCCGTAACTTCCGTAGATTTTCGGCGATAAGTTCCACACCATCGTCAGAAATTTTACTGCAACCCGAAACACTTAGGACGGTAAGATTGGGGAGGGAATGTACAATATTAACTATACCATGATTTGTGATCTCCCAACATGACTTCAGTCTTAAAACCCCGAGGGTGTAACTCTGTTTTGCGCTGAAGAAGGCCAATGCCGCGTCTGTTACGTGGTAGGCCTGTAAGTTGAGTTCGTACAATGAGGGTAGAAGTTGGGAGATTGCCCCGACTGTGTCATCAGCTACATTAATACAGTCACTGATACTTAATGAAACGATTTTAGCGTTGAGTGACGTCCATAAACCAGTCTCTGTAATTTCGTTACAACCTGATAACTCTAAGCGATATATACACATTTTTTTAAACAGTGTTTCCAGACCGACATCGGTGATATTCGAACACCTAACACTGACTGATCTTAGGTTTTTCTTACTGGGTGGGAAATTACTCACAAAGTCCACAACATCATCATCTGTAGCACCTTGCAGACAAATGGAATCAAATCCCCTGTATTGGAGACTCTCGTAAAATTTTCGACGTACGACTGGATTTTTTTCCCAATTTCGGAATGCTATAATAGGGGTGACATCCACCCAGAATTTCGATTGATACAAAAAACTTTTCCATTTTTTGCAAACTTGAGCTAAAGTTCCTCTTTCTTCTGCGGAAAAGTAGAAGAAAAATTTGGTAAGGAACTGTTCATCGTTGAATAGATCTCGCACGTTGTCTATCCCCACTCTTCCATTCATGTTCCTTAATCGTTTCACTATGCCAGGTTTTGGAGAGCGTAAGAGTTTATTACTGCTATTCGGCGAGGAGCCATTAGTTGCTCTATGTAACGTTTCTTTGACTGATATACTACCATTCTGATTCTGTTCTCTGTGGAGGCGCAATCCCCGAATTCCGTTAGATATTTCCATATACGCTTTACGTATAGTAGACATGGTGCCACTGTATAAGATAATATTTATACAGATTATAAAAACTCGGCACAGCTGCCAGCCTCTGATATAATCACAAATAATAAACTATAGTATTTCACTGTATCACATTAATTATTAATAAATACTATTATAATATACTATCATATCCAATGTCCAATGACTATTTGTTTAGAAACACTATCAACACAGTAACACTTGGAAACAAAGACACATGGTTGTCCTATTGAACTTTTCTATCGAACTACTCCTTCCAACACTTGGAATTCAAACAATGAAACGATCTCTATTCCATATCACAGTTCACTAAACTACACGTTATAGTAAATTCCTAGGTCTCGGTATGTATAATTGGCGATAATGTTAAAATAAGACTGATAACAAATAAATATTCACTTAGAAGACGCTAAAATTCTTGTATTTACACAAACCGCGTGGTTTTTCCTTACAGTCGCAATATCAGTGATTCCATAGCCCGGTATTCACATGGTTTAGAATACAGTTGTATTCGGTCGATCGTTGCTGTGACTAAAGCAGTATAACTATGGCGGACTAGTGAATGAATGAGTGTAAAAAATCGATATGAAATTTACTTGTCATCGTTTATGTCATGTGAAGAATATAATACTCCATTACTAGTGACTATAACTCGTATTCCCTGTTCACTACAACAGACTATAGAATATACACCAATTATTATATAATCTGAACATTATTTAATTATAAATACCATACATCTTGGTGAAATATTGACAGGTTTCTCATTGTTCTCATAATTCTATCATTTGTTATAATAAGATAGGCCAACAATCGGAATGTGTTTCAATCTTGATGCACTATTCAAGTATGTTTTTAAATTGTTCTTCTAATTCTCCTGAATATAGGCGAAGGAAGAGGCTGGGAAAATTTAGCGCATTAGCCTTGTGCTTTTGTGGTATGGACCCGAACGAGACAATAGTAATAGTAATTTTAGTCCATTATTGAAGATATCATCCAAATAATTTCGGTTCTTAAATGATTCGGGATAATTTTCAAGACAGTCTCATTGACGTTTGCAGATTTTGATGATAAATATTTTGTCTGTTTTTTTCCTGATTTAGATTGGAACATGTCTGTTTCTTCTTGTTATTTAGACAGAGATATGTAGATTGCGTTTTCACCTTGTGATTTAGATGTTTAGATAGCAGTTTGGATTGATAAATGTCGCCACTCGCCTTCTGCACTTTTACAATCTCGAATATCTCAAAGCGGAAGCAATAAGAGTAACCCAGAGTGAACTTTTCCTGTCTTTCTAGAGGAGCTCGAATAACATGTTATTTTGGATTCTTTATATTCTTTTATAACATTTTATCTATTCTATAGGTCTGTTGTTCAGGTCGAAGATTTAAAGACGTTCCGAGTCGGTCGATTGTTATTCAGCTTGTCTTCATTTGAATTATTGGATTTTTAAATTTGATTAAGACCTCTGGTTACATGAAAAGATGTGTATCTGGTTTTGTCATTCCTTTTCGTCTTGAGTTGTTCGGGAAAGCTATTCAGTTTACGCATTTCTTGGCTATATCATTGATTTTGGTGGCTTCTTGATTAGGATTTGATTATGTATATGTCGGTTTTCCTCTTGTGATTTAGTCTTCAACAGATTGATTGCGATTTACATAGCTGCATTTTGCTTTTCACAGAATTGCAAATTGCGGGTATAATTCGATTTGCTCGTAGTGAATTTATCCTTTGACTTATGGATAGAATGAAGATAGATAGTCTTCTCCTTGAAGACAGATATATACCGGTCCTTGTAATTTAGACAGGTACGTGTCGGTCTTCTCCTTGTTATTTATACAGGTATATGCCGGTATCCTCTTTGACTTTAAGACAGGTATATATCGGTTATCTCCTGGTTATTTAGAAAGGTATCTATCGGTTATCTCCTGGTTATTTAGACAGGTATATGTCGGTATCCTCTTTGATTTTTACACAGGTATATGTCGGTTTTCTCCTGGTAATTTAGACAGGCATATGTCGGTATCCTCTTTGATTTTCAGACAGGCATATGTCGGTATTCTCCTTGTAATTTAGACAGGTATATATCGGTATCCGTTTTGATTTTCAGACAGGTATATGTCGGTATCCTCTATGATTTTCAGACAGGTATATTTCGGTATTCTCCTTGTGATTTAGACAGGTATATGTCGGTTTTCTCCTTGAGATTTAGACTGTTATAGGCCGGTTTCTCCACGTATATGTAGGTTTTCTCGTTGTGATTCTAGTCTTTAACCTACAGATTGCGATGGATAGATGCTTCTTGGTTTTCTCATTGAATCTTTTACTATAGATTATGATTTGAATAGGTAGATGTCTGTTTTCTCCTTGTCGTGTGTTTTTATATTGTGTCTGGAGTAAAAGGTGTATGGTGTTCAGACTGTCATAATACATCTTACCATCATGTAAAAGGCATTATCAGTTGAGTACACTTACTATTACGTCGTAAACAGTCCCAGCTTGAAACTTAGAAATTTCTCGAATCGTATTCTCTAAATTCCTGACAATATCTGGCATTATAACAAATATATAATCCTCGCCTTCATTCACAGCTGATATAATTACTTTCTACACATTTTCTACATTATACTCATAACGTAAAGCTTGTACTCGTACTTGACAATAGTTCTCATCATCTATGTATATCTGAATGTGTTGAGGATATCAATGCAAGAATATTCAGTATGGGCAATTAACGTATTTTTATTATTCCCATGGTCTACGTTTGCCGATGTATGGTTTGAAGAAACGTGCATGGCAAAAAAATCCCCACTGAATTAATTTTGGCTTTCAATGGCGAAATCAGGTGCAGAAAGGTAAAGGTACGATGTAACATTTAATTTTATTTTATTTTCATTATCAATCTTTTAGCAACATTTATCTCAAGATAAAATCAAGAGCATTAAAATAGGGTCCCAAACTCCATTTCGTTTAAAAACCACCCTTCGTCTATTACATTCTGCATTGCAGTAATGTCGACCATTACTCCAAAAATAGATGTCTTATTTGAAATAGAATCGATTTTAACGACAGCGGTCTTCATATGATTCATAAACTTTCAATATTAAACAAAGCTTTGTATTTCAAAGGCTACATTATTGGATTTAGCCCGGGGCATCATCAAATATATCTTAATCTATAACAGTCTTAAAATATATTTCAATATTCCAATATAACGTGACAATGTTCGAAACGTACAGGTTTATCGTTTATTACTGTTTTTTTTTTATCATTTGACATATTCACATAAATATTTTCATTCTAAAAACGCCTCGCTGAAATGTCAACAAGCAATAAAGTATTTTTTAAATATTTTGTGGTTTCTCAAGATTTATTTCATGGATGGATATTGTCCCTGGAAGTGCTTCTTGAAACATATTTTTCTCATATCTGGCTTCTCACTGAATGAATATTACATTCACACTTGCAGGACAGAAATTACATTTTGGTCTCTTTAGAAGCAATAATAAGTCAAATCTTTCAGAGAAGTGGATGTAAACTTGAAGAAATTCCATTTATTTTGCCTTTTACTGTAACGAAACCATCGACAATATTGTCTTGCAAACAGTGGTCTGCGGAAACAGTAAGCCTGATATCGTGTAAAAGAAGGATGAACTAATACACAATACAGTGATGCTGGAAGTTAAATTATGGCATATTTCCACTTCTAATAACAGCTTTGATGGGATAAGAATATAAATCACCTGGATAGTTCTTCCCTAGCTGAATCCATAGATGAACTTGATCATACATCCGAAATACATTCATCCTCTTCACCAGCAAGGCACTCTCTACCAACCACAACTATAACGTTACTGATCAGAGCCAATCAAAAACCTCGTTACAGAAGTTTTCCCGCGTTCATTACGTCATTGAAACGTCATTTTGGCGCGAAAGCTATTCAGCCAATGCTAAAGCATCTCTTTCAATATTAACAGTTCCGTCAGCTTAAGGAAGCAATTGCATCTAGTTTGCCAAAGTATAGTAGACCTAGGCTATTTATTTAGATTTATATAATGATGATCATTGCAATTTGACCTTTTTCTATCTTAGCCTGTCAATAAAATAGATTTGATGGGACCTGAGATTGCTTCGTCGTTAAATTTTAACCGATCAAAGAAAAACTTTTTTGTTATATTATTATTAATGTAGAACATTTCAGACATGATAGTGGAATTTAACGTCTCAGTCTTCATCTAATTCCCCAATATTTTCTTAGTTGTTTATCAATAAAAGGCGGTTGCCTATTAGCTGCCGTGGTGTTTGTAGTTATAGTAAGAGATAACATATCGGCGATAGAAGTCGAACAAGATAAGACAATCAGTGATAAGTTCGTGTGAAATTAAGTGAAGTTGTTTTACGTCCTACGTTTCTGCACCAACGGAGACAACGTCGGGCTAGGATTTTTTTGAAGGGTGCGGGAAAAGTAGGATGAAAAACTCCAGTCATTTCATTTCATTTGAAGGCGGTGGGTTGCAGGCCCATAACCAGCCCAATGTGCCAAGGGGGCGGCCACAGTCTAGACTGATTCAGCTTCAATTGAGATTTTGTTCGAATTTTGCAGGAGTTGGGTGTCGAATATATTTCCAAGGGGGACCCCCCCTCACCCCCTTTTAGTTACGGGCCTGGTGGGGGTAGTAGTTTCTATTGTGGGAAGCCGGAGAGTTCATCTGCCGCTCATTTTCATGATCCACTGTCTTGGTTTATTGTCTCAATTACTAATACAGCTCTATGCCCCAACTAGCAGGTATATGGAGCATACAGAATAATAATGATCATATTGAATGATTGATCGATTTTAATCATTAACCATGTTTTTTTTTTCGTTTGTGTAGGCTTTTATTGATCTAATCAAGTATTCTTGTCATAATTAATGACCCATTCAGGCCTATTTTAGGACCATATTGCCAACCCATTGGATACCCAGGTGTATCGTCTAGTCTCTGGCCACATCGAATTCTAAATCACATTTTGGCTATCATTTTTATATGAATTGAAATATTAATCTCCAAATATTGCTGAGATTCTTAAGATTGTCTTCGGGTTAATGAAAATGCCAACCATTGAAAACAAAAATTATTTGAAACTATGATTTTACATAGGGCGATTTTCAGTTAAAATGTGTTATTTTCACATGAAATTTCTTGGAGAGAAGTGTGTTCATTTCAAGAAAATTCAATTTAGAACTCAATGTGGCCAGAGAGTAGTTTATAACCAATTCACTAAAACAGTGGTGGCGTCAGCCTCTCGAGACTCATGGTAGAAGGGGCAAGACTGACTTAATGGGAGAGGGGGGGGGGGGCTTTAACTTTAGACGTTGAATTCAAAATGCGCACCTTTTTTTTATTAAGACTTAAGGCCTGGGTTTACTTATTCACTTGACTTTAGATTAGGAGAAATTTCTTTACCTATTATAAGTGATAGCCTACAAGATCGGGTGAAAACAACCATTTCTCAAGACCTGAATACATGGCTGTGGTCTGTAGCAAAATTTTTAAACCTAGTTATCTGTCCTTGCCTCCAGAAGAAATGGCCGACTGGTAAAATGAATTTCTTTGTTTTTGTTTGAAAACATACCTAATATGGACTAATATGTAGTCAAATTGTATCCACATGAAGTGAAAAAGGTATCAAAGCTATCTGCATCTTGAGCTAAACGGATTAAGGTTTATTTTTTGCTAAAATCAAAACAAATCTATTCTTTTTTGACTTTGACACAGTTGCTGATTCATGTTTACGTAACTTTGTCCCGAGAGTTCACTCGGTCCTGATCTCAAGCTTTTAGTGACAAATAATCTCTCAAACACAACCGGCATTCCAAGGTTTAGACTCGTTCTTTGGGCCTTGACAAAGAAATCAAATGATAGGCCTAGTTTCAGTAACCATAACCATAGGACAGTGCATTTTTGTAGTTGGCCCTATGACATGTGTAAGGTGTTATAGGATTAAAGGTAGTATAGTAATAAACTCCACCAAAGAGAGGTACCATGATGTGCTTCGGAGAGAGTAAGCATGGTCCGCTTCTTGCTCGAGATCCGCCACTAATTCAATCAAAAAAGATCAATTCATGCCTGACGAAAACAACAGATCTTCAACAATTGTTTGAGTTGTCTTTTAGTGTACTAAGTTATCTATGGACTGAGTTGTCTTGAATTCAACTGGGCATTCTATTCCGAAAGTGAACACAGCTGATATAGTTTATTTTCATGGATTTATATCTAATTTCAGGAGAGGAGGGGGAGAGAGTTCAGACTATAAAATAATACGAGAAGTTTACGACCATGAGGATGCTCTAGAGGAATTTGAATATGAACTAGACAGCGCATTAGAAGCTGGCATAAAAACAATTATCATTGAACCTACAAAACTAGGCGAAGAAACAGCTCGATGGATTAAATTGGGAAATATTATCCGATATACTTCTGTATTCACTGGCGTGGGATCCATCGTCAGTGGACTAGCATGGCCTGAACAAGCTGAAGTATTCTTACCTCTCGGAGCTGCCAGTATTATCTTCTCGGCTGTCCATATTTTATCGTGGGAAACAGACCCTTGTTCGAAATATCGAGTCATACACGAACCACCCAAATCGGCCTTACGAAACCTGACTACATCTCGACCTGTGATCCTAGTTAGAAAAGGCGTGGTACTTCAAAGATTTCTTCATACTGTTTCCATGGCAGCTGGAGCTTTCTGCGGCTCCAAAATACATAAATGGTATTTCCAATGAACGCCTGTGTGATGTGATTTAATGAACATTTGCTTCGAAGGCGATTTATTTCTGATTGTGTTAATGTTAGTGATTTAAGGCTGAAAATAATGGGTCGATCATGTATTTGACACCCATTTCATTATTGGACTCTTCCAAGCATGCATTTTTTAAAATCAATACTGCAATAATGACATGTTTAAGAAGAGTTCAATAATAGAATAAGGGGTTTTTATTTACCTGACAAATTATTTTCAGTCTTGGTAACTTTGATCTTTTTAGCACAACACTACGCAATTTTTGAACATGACATCCCAGTTTTATTTTTTTAACATTTTATTAGTTTAATTTTAATCAATGTACATAGTTGGAATCTTCGTGAATAATTTAATTAAAAATGGAGATTTTCATGATCAAAATAAATATCAATATTCCACTCTTAATTAATGCCAATTAAATTTGTTTTTAAAAAAATAATGATTTTTGTTTGTTGAAGTACAAAGGATCCAATATGTCATAAAGAAAGAAAGCAACAACTCATTTTTTTACGAGGATATCAACTTAAGGTGTGGGCACAAAAGCGTTCTTGGTTGGAGATTTTTATCGCCAGGTCATATCTTGAGAAAAATCTTGTCGCCAACATGATTTATGACATCAATCAAATTTGATGGTTGTCTCTAATAGTTTTATTATCTGCAAGACAGACCGTCATCATCCAATCAGATTAATTTTCCTTTCAATTGCATGCTCTGCACATGATTATCAACAAGGTGGATTTTTGTCTCCTCTTGAGCCTGTGACAGTCATTGAAACATGGCATTGATCTTTCCTGGAGTATCCATACTCATTTACAGCTGGGTCGACTGGAATAATTTGGTCTTGTTATCAATAAACAAGTACTTCTTGACATGCTTTGATTGGTTTGGATTTTTTCTACTGTAATAGAACAGGGACTGTGATAGACAACTTGTTATATTACAATAGAGATAAAAAAATATGAAAAAAATAAACAAACTAATCTAATTTTATTGGTATCAAACTAACAAAACAATAAAGGGCACTCGATTGGTTAGTTCTGCATGTTCAGGATATGTTAAATCAAGGGAAGGTCATTTAATAAAAAGAATATGAACAGGGTACAGAATGCATTCCATCTAGGCTGAAATCTTGTTTAGGTGTAATAAGGTGTAGTAGGAATAAATTTTTAATCTTGAATGCTATCTGATATTGTACTATTTATTTGAAGTGAGTTGGATCGGGTGTATCTTGCTAATCGAGCCCCAGTTTCTCTCAAAGTATAAGGGGAGGTAAGACATTTTCACTTCTGTTCCCTTGCTCTTGAATTCATTTTCCAGAAGAACACGTTTGGTGCTAAAGTTCTGAGGAAACACCCTAATTTAGGACCTAACGAAGCGAGTTTGACTTCATTCTTGTCATAAATTATAGCATTTAAGACTTGTTGAGCAACATATTCTGGCTTCATGCCGCTTTCTGTTGTTTTATCCATAACTGTAAAATCAAGAAAAGGGATATTAAATATTTAGGTCTTAATAAATATTCCAATTCACAAAAACTGTAAGGTAAAAATAACTTTGATGAATATAGTAAGATGAACATCTGTCATAACCACAGTATTTAGAATAGTTGAGAAAGCACAGGAACTAAAAAAGAGGTTTTATAAACTGTTTATGTGTATCGGGGATTCCTTATATTTGCACCATTCCAAGTTACAGTCAGCCTTCTGTACCTCGTGTAATACCTTCAAAATTAAGGGCTTAACGACGTAGCTATCGCAAAGTCCCTTAGATACTATAAGCAGCTTTTGCTATAATGATGGAACATTTCCGAACATAAACGAACCACAGACATCTGAGAGAAAAAATTGACATAACTACTTACCACCATACTGGCTGCCATCTGAAGTCATAGCGTTGAGAGAGAGATTAGTCTGCATATACCCTGGACTTATTACACTAACTCTAATTTTATCATCGCAATATTCCGCTCGTACACAATCACAAAACGCTTGAAAAGCATGTTTAGATGCAGAATCTGAAAAACGTACAAAATATTGTAAATGATACCCCGGATTTTGCTTTAATTGGTGATGCAATGTCATACAAGGTATATCTATAGTCAGGAGAGGGTGCTATCCTAAATTCTACAAAATAAATACCTATTGTTCACACACAAAAAACAACCAACAAACCATATTTTGGACATAGAGAAATCAAGTGGAATTGAGAAGATGGGCTAGTTAAATCATCTCATTGGTTCTGTCGCAGTCAACAAGGGAAAAATGTGGATTCTGCTGATCACAAGGTGAACGGAGCCACTGCCATGTTAACTGGATAATGTATAATGATATAATGAGACTTACATGCTGATCTATATGGTATAGATATTATACCCTGTATACTACTGATACCAACGATATGACCTCCACCATCTTTCTTCATTCTACTCACAATACCTTTAATATCATAATGGATAAAGGATAAAGATCATAATGCACAATAAAAAGTAATATTCATTAAAGATTTGCTGATGGACTTGTCTTAACTGGTGTGCTGTGTGTGCACAATTAGGTTAAACTTTAAATTCTTAGACTGGCAGAAATGACAACAAGATAAGTGGCGTCATTAAAGGGATTGTAAAGAGGTTTTCTCAAATCTTTATGTGTATCAGAGACACTAATAGCATCAATTTGCACCATTCCAATTTTCAATCAGATGTCTGTGGTTCCTGCAATTCCACCAAAACTAAGCGTTTTATGACATCACCAATCACAAAGTCCTTACATGATACAGCATACTTTGCGATTAGTGACGTAAAAAAACACTCAGTTTTAGTGGAATTGCAAGAAGCACAGAAAATTGTTATTCAGAGTTTTATGCGATCTTCAAACAACTGACCTATTTCACCCAGCGTCCTTACTAAGCCTCCTATTCCATTAATCTATTTTAGCTAGTATTTTTTGTATAATTAATGTATCGTTTATTTTTCTATGCTTACCTTTAGTTAATATAAGTTGACCAAAATAGTTAACCTGCATAATTTTCCTATGGACATCAATCTCAGTGTCCTGTATAGTTCCTCGGTAACTGACCCCAGCATTGTTAATTAAAATATCTATTTTATTATAGAAACTATAGGCTGTTTCTATTGCTGTTAGTATACTCTGATCATCTTCTAAATCTAACACCACTATCTCTGGTGTAAACTCACTCTACAATAAATATTGACATCTTAAAAAATTTGGCAGTGGCATAGTCCAGGGTGTCTGGTCAAGTCGTCGACACGCCAACTCGTCGACAGTCAACTCGTCGACAAACATGACCAAGTCGTCGATTTATAAAATTCTGTAGACGAGTTGACTTATAAAATTCTGTCGACGAGTTGAATTCCGTCGACGACTTGCCGATAAAATTCTGTTGACGAGTTGGCATGTCGACGACTTGACTGGTATTCTAGTCCAGTCGGTAGCCAATTAGATTGTCGCCCTGAGTTCGATTTCTTCTCAAGGTTAAAAAAATTCAGATGAAGAGAACAATTGGCTTTGGCTTTAATACAGAATTCTGCTGTTAAAATTCAAGATAAAGCTGAGAAAACAAGTTTAGTCCATCCTTTATTATTCATGTGTCTATTTATTATGATTTTAAACTTGCTTTTAAAGTGTGGCATTAAACTTGTGTATCATTTTTGATTATAATTGTAATACATTTCCTAGCATGTCATGTCCCATTTGAGATATGACCCTCATGTGAAAAGCGATGCACAGCCTTGGTCACTGTGATTTCAAATACAGCATCGTTCACATAGCACATTGCCCTAGACGTCAGGATGTATTGCAGCTTAATAATTCAGTTTTCGATTTTAGTCTCACCTTTATCGTGTCTATCAATTCTTTTTGGACCTCTTTTAATTTCTCTATAGATCTACCAGCTAATATTACTCTACATCCAGCTTTTACAAATTTTACTGCACAGGCTGTAATAGAGAAAGAATGAATGATAAATGAAAGAATGAATGATAAATGAAAGAAAAAACGAATGACCTAATCAATGGATGACCCAATAAATAGATAGATGACCAAATGAATGAGTGAATGAATGAATGAGTGAACGATTGTTGCTTATTAAGGGGTAATGTTGATAGAAAAAATCAAGAAAGTTGCTGAAAATCATGTAAAAAAAAGGGAGACATATTCTAAGCAATTTTCTTAATTGCACATAACATTGCATTGCCTTTGTTCATTAGGACAATCAGGAATATCTCAGAAAAATTAAAACCCAATTTCATATCATACTTTTACCTTTTCCCAGGCCTGATGTTGCTCCAGTGATCAATACAATTTTATCTTTAATCTGTATTTTTGGTTTGTGTTTTAACAACATCATTATAAAAGCTAAGAGACATAATGGTCCACCAATAAAACTGCCTGTTACTTGCCAGCTCATTCTGTAAAGAACAGGTTTAATCAATTAATCATTACAGTCGAGTAACCCAATTTCGTGGAAACCTATTATTCGTGGATTTCCGGAAAGGATTAATAATTTACATGAGCGACCTTGCGCGACCTCCGCATTAGTTTGTTTTGATAAACATGGGTTTTCTCTACAATATCAGCTAGTAGAATGAATCCAGTAGTTTCAAGCAAGGTAAAATGTATTAATGTTTACTTTGACAAATACAAAATGGCGGATTTCAGTTATTACCAAACGTCACCATTTTTTAACGGCCGAATTTCCTTATAATCCCGAGCGGTAATCGGAATTCCAAGTGTCGTCTGCTAGAATATATTTCAACGAATGAAGTCACGTGATCAACTAGCAGATTCCGTGTCAGCAGAAAATTTCTATGGAACAGAAAGTGGACCATATTCTTATGTTGTTTCAGTGACTTTTAGCAATAAATCACGCTACGTATCTTATTTTGTCAGTCACTATTTTTTTTTTAAATCGTGGTTCTTTGAAGGAATTGACACTAGTTATAATGAATTGATATTAAAGATAAACCCTAAGAGAAGTTACTTATACCATCCGGTATCGATACAACGTGTTTTTCTAGACTTATTTATAGATCAAACATTGTACACGAAAGTAGGTGACGCATTCTGCTGCCGTTGCCGAGTTGGTTGCTCATGAAATATTGGTCAAAGTGAAGGATTCATAAAGAAAATCGAAATAAACCAATTTTAATTATTTTGTAGAATATCTAAGGAAACATCTTAAGACATAAAAAAAATTTTTCGTTTTTTTAACCTTGACGAAATTTGGTGTTGAATCCTTATATCCACGAAAATAGGTTACACCACTGTATTAATCAATTTGAAATTTAACACTGTTCAACACTGAGTTAAAGATGCAAATTCAGTGGACATATTCAAGACACGTCTTAACTCAACACACTAATATACTCGTGAATACCAGATATGACAGAGCAAGTCAGCACCATTGAGTAGAACATTTAAGAAAATAATTGTAAATGCATCATAAAAAAGTTGCAATGACATGAATTGACTTGACGAATAATTGTCAAGAATTTCAAATTTCAATGAATTCTCAACAAAGACCTTTGACCTATAACCTGAAGCAATAATTGTTTTGTGATGATCGTACGAACAAGGAAGTTAAATGACGCATTGACACATAAATGTGCAATTGGTCAAATGGTTAGGCTGTGCTTATTAAGAAAATAACTCGCCTTCTCCGTTGGTTTCTGTTTTGTTTACAAGACTTTACTTTCGTTTTATGCCGGAAGCGGAAGTAGACAGGTGCGCAGACAACACCAATCTCACTTGCCCACTGCGCACAACCTTTGTTGAATCGCATCAGAACTTCAGACTGATCACATGAAATGGTGATGAAGTTTTCGACAATCACTCGAATGAGGGGTGGAAGATGAGCGTTCATGGCTGCCAGCACTTGAGTGCCTTTAAAGCAGCCAAAGGAACCGATCCTTTCCGCATAATTTATTCTTACTTCATCGCGTGTCCCTCAGCCGACGCACGAAGAATCAAGGTACACAACCGTGATGAAATATTCAAAAACAACAACTGACCAAACTATCCTACCCCCTACCCTACGACAATAAGTGTGCGGATGATGTTGAATTATATATTTTTATTTCATATTTCAAAGTCATTATAATTGAACATTTTCTTTGACCCCTTTCTTGGTTGTTTTTAAATTTATTAATTAATTGGAGAGGCCAAATATTGTCCAACAAAAAATTGTCAAAACAAGGAAGCTGTTGATAACTGTCAATTCTTTTTAAAAAGCCCGAATATGATCAGATGAATAATCCTCTATCTACTAAATTCCAGGGACCTGTCCACTACAAAAAAATCATAATTAATTATGACAAATAGCGTCGTTCTCATGTTATTTATGCAGTGTACTTTGCCACCGTTGCTCGTTTCTGTCTATTGCCCCTCTGAAAAGACCCTATACCCTATCAGCTTTATTATGGTTAACGACAAAAAAGTTACTATAAGCATTTCAGAAAATTTGAGGCAACACAAATCTGAAGTTTATATGATGAAAAAACGTTTGTCTATTTCAGGCCAAATCATGTGTGTGTCACACATGTCGGCAGACAACTCTACGACTTCATGCATGTATGTCCTGTATATATTTCGGCTGTTATGGTGCTAAACACATACATGATCATGCCAAGAGCAAAAAACATAATTTAGGTAGGTTATTGATCTCGAATATGGTGACTGAATTATCTGAACTAAAGTATTAATTTCAGCTACTGCTTAAAGACATCACAAGGTAGTTTCTGGAGGCTGAAGATATTAGGATCTCTTTCCAGGTTGCAATTTATAATCTTTATTTCACCTTCCTACCAATTCTTTTGAACAATGTTTATGTGGTTTCCAAAAAACAAATCGCACTTTTAATAAGTAATGTATCATAAAAATGTGATTTACCACAGATCTTGATTCAGATATCTTTTTTACTCATTTTAAGTTCTCATCTCTGTATTTTTTCAGCTATTTGTTCTTTATAAATTTATTCGATGTTGAACGTATATTGTAGCGATTGATTTAACGTATGGTACAGTGATATGTTTTGTATGTGAAGACTACGTCTATGATAAAGACTTAGAAGACATAGCTAGATCTTTCAGCCAAAAACCAACTCTAAATTTAGTTGGTGCTTGTAAGTGAACATTTGTCTTGGTTTTGGGGCAAACAAATTTGTCAAAATAATTATAAAACTGTGTTTTATTGAAAGGAATTGACTCACACACACATTTGAAGTCTTTGATGTGCACAAATATTTTTGATTCCCAGTGCGTTTTCTGATTTTAATTTTTTCTTCAGATATCAAAGAGCCATTTTCTACATGGGAACCTTCAGAAGATGAAATTCAACTTTTAAAGAAAAATCCTAAGAGAAGGAAAGTCAATTCAAATTCTACTGTAGGTGAGTAATCAGCAACAGATATCTTTATTAATTACCTTTTGGGGCGTCTGTTGTATCCTGGTGGCTTAGTGAGTTAAACCCTTGCTTGCTAACCTTAAGGTCCAGGGTTCAATCCAGCCCTAGCTTAAGAATGTGTCTTCCCATATTCCAATAGAAGGTCGCAGTGGCTTAATGAGTTAGACACTTGCTCCCTGAAGGTCCACGGTTCAATCTCAGCATAGGAGCAGATAATATCTTCGGATTTTTCAACCCAGTTTTCCCCTGTCAGTGATGCAGGTTAGAAGGGCTGACATGGAAAAGGCGTCCAAGCATTCAGATAGAAAAATATTTAAGTTGCTAATTGGATGGTTTTTTTTTTCAGGATTACGTGGGTTGATAAACCTAGGCAATACGTGTTTTATGAATTGTATCGTTCAAGCTTTAACTCATACCCCCATTCTACGAGACTTTTTTCTAGCTGATCGCCATACTTGCCAAATGCCTGGAGAATCCAAACAGTGCCTTGTGTGCGAAATGGCACGACTATTTCAGGAAGTGAGTGAATTTTCATCCTTTATGATTATGACATAACTCTTTATATAGCCTTGAACATGGTGCGGGAAAGTAGGACTTAAAACTCCATTCATTTTTATATAGCTTTGAATCATCCGGTCAGTATGACTTCGGTCTGGTGCTTACAATAAATAATACATAAAATATACAATCTATACGAAGTAGAAATGCTATAACAGATTAAATGTGAATAAAAACAACACTGATAGAAATCCAACTGTCTTAATGATATTTTGAAAAGTGTGTCCTACACAAGAGATATGATCATTGTTCGTGTGGCCTCTGGGCTCAATCAAAGGGATCAGGGACACTACGATTCATTCATTTTCAGAAGAGACTTATGGTATTTCATTTTATTTCTAGCAATGTACTTTTCTCACAAAGAATTGGGCGCTCTAAGAAACAGGTCCTGAGGGCTAGAGCTATATAGTCTTCCCTTGATAACTTATTCTTCATTCATTCATTTCAGTTTTACTCTGGTGCATGCACTCCACACATACCATATAGACTGTTACATCTAGTTTGGACCAACGCTCGGCATCTAGCAGGGTATGAACAACAAGACGCCCATGAATTTCTTATAGCTGCTTTAGATGTTTTACATAGACATTGTAAAGGTAAGTTCCATACAATGTATTATGTGTAATCGCAGAATCTTACTCATCCCAGATTATCCTCCAGTTGAAGACTCGAGCTATCTTCATCATTTAAAACCACTGCTCTTATTAGTGAATAGTTGGGACCCTGGTTCACTTTATTCAAATAGCTTTGTGAATTACAAAAGATCAAAACAACCCTATCATAAGAGATAGAATGTCCATACCCGTATTTTATTCATTAGCTCGGTGCATATCTCCATATTTAAACAGCAAAACATAATGACAGTCTTGCATCATACAAGCATTTCGATTGAGCACTTTCAAAATCATATTAAGTGAAACACAGTAGAAATATATAAAATTTCGTATTGAAGAGAATATGTTTGTTATATCTATGATACATGGCATTTAACAGTCCACGATTCCTCTCCAATCAATGACTTTGTTCTGCTTGTCCATCTTCAGAGGAGACGTGGGCTGAAAATAGGTCAGTTGTCTGAAGAACATATAGCTTGAAACTTTCAGTAACAGCATGATTCATGTTCTGTTTTAATATTTCTATATGTTATGTTGTTTCTAGGTACAAATGGAATGAGTTGTAGCAATCCACATCTTTGTAACTGTATCATAGATCAAATATTTACTGGTGGGCTTCAGTCAGATGTTACTTGTAAACAGTGCAAGTGAGTTCACAAAATTTATTCGAAAGTCAGACTTTGATGGAGAGCAAAACCTTTGACAAAGTTTATATAGCTTCATAGCACAGATGTTTCTCCTATATTTGAGTTATTACCGCTGTAACTATGTTTATCTTAGATTCGTGGCATTACTCTCTTACCTTACCTCATGGCATCACAAGGCATTGCAGGCATTGAATGTTTTATTCCTATCAGATCCATTAAAGAAAGATTTACAATTTCATTTCACAAGACAACTTAATTTTCAAACTGCATGATGTAGTTCTTTTACATTGCCTAGATCTGTTTCAGAAATGTTTAAAGGGATGTTTAAGAGGTTTCCTAATTTTTTTTAGGATTGTTGGGACGCTTTAAAGCAGCTTTTGTGATATCAATGCTATAAATGACTTAGTTAGTAGAATTGCAAAAAATCACAGATATCTGAAAATTGGAATGTTGCATATACATATAGTTGATATTGGTGTCCCTGATACATATAAAAGTTGAGATAACGTCATTACAATGCCTTTAACTGTTTTTGATGGATTAAAATGTTTTCGATACCTTGTTTCAGTAATGTTTCGACAACTATTGATCCTATTTGGGATATTTCGTTAGATCTGGGTCCAGGACCCCCTGCCTTCAGTACCATGTCTACTTCAGCCACAACACACTCCACCCCTTCTCCTGGGGGTACAGGTAGGTCCTTTACTCACTCCACCCCTTCTCCTGGGGGTAAAGGAAGGTCCCTAACCTATCTCTGGGTTTAAATTTCTGGAAAATTTGTCATGTTGTACTCATGTTTAAACACTGTATATTATTTTATTTTGAGAAAGTTGCAGCTCTATATTGCTGTTAATGTATCTTTAGGAATGGATGATAATTTCCCAATATTTTTGATGGTAGCAAAGTTTCTTTTAAAGTTTCATTGATGAATATAATAAAGTTAAACTTATACAAAAGTCCGAAGTAATGAAAAAAAGTTGAATAATTATTTCTATTTTGTTATTGTAGGATTTACTAATAGTCCAGGGAACTATGAACCTACCTCATTATTAGAGTGTTTGAAACGGTAGGTAGAGAATCTTTCCATTATTCCAAACAGTTTTCTTCTTTACATATTTGAGAACGGGCATCAGCACAGTCTGTTCAGGCATTAGAATCTATGATTATGTCATTTGCCAAGTTGAATTAATAGTAGACATTGGTGTTCATAGGTTTTAATTTTGGTCAGCCTTTGAAAATCAGGAGATCTTGAATAAGTCATCTTTCCTCATTATTCCAAATGCAGAATTGTTCCAAAGGCCAAGAGGTTAGGTCGAGGACTACCTGGTTGAAAAGATCACACATTAAAGTTTGCCCTGTGCATTTCAGTGTAATGAAACTCATTTCATTCCATTTTTTCAGCTTTACTCGACCAGAACATTTAGGAAGCTCAGCTAAAATAAAATGTGGAAAATGTCACAGTTATCAGGAATCTACCAAACAATTAACAATGAAAAAATTACCCGTTGTTGCTTGTTTTCACCTCAAGGTAGGCCTTATATTCTTATTATCACTTAACACAATTTCCCACTGTCAGTTATTTTTGTCTGAGGGATCGACACGGAAAAAGCATCTGGTCGTTTTGATGGGACAATGTGTGTTACAGACTTTGCAGTGTAAAGATCCCTCAACAGTTGGAAATAGAATAAGCATGCTCTTCCTGTTGTCCTGGAAAAACTTACCCTATTGTACACTGCATTGTGTAGCCCGTCCTCTTTAAAGTATGGTGTAAATTTCCTTATCATTTCTTATGTTCATTTGAATGATTATTGAATCTTGGTTTGATTCTAATTTCCACCATTGACTATGGTTGAAATTATTTAGTTGTCTGACTGAAAATAAGAATGGCGCAAAAAGATACTATTAGTGTCCCATATACACATAAAAAGGTTTGATAAATCTATTTACAATACTTTGAAAAGTTTGTGATTTACTTTATTTTAGAGGTTTGAGCATTCCACAGGCTATCATAAAAAGATCTCAACGTACGTATCATTCCCGGAGGAGCTGGATATGACGCCGTTTATGTCATCGTCTCGTAATGATAATAACGGATTCTCCAATCAAATTATCTTAGATATACCCACAAGTCTTTCATGTGATAATAAGTAAGTTTCGTTTCCAACATTCTGGGGGAGCCGCGGTGGCTCAGCGAGTTAGATAGATGCCTATTTGTTAATCTGAAGTAAAGAGTTCAATCCTGGCCTGTGGGTTTGTGATAACATCTTTTCATGCTGGTTACTTCTGTCAGTTTTATAGGCCCAAGGGGATTATTTTGGATAAACTAAGAGCGTGCTTGCTACACTGATGTCCTTAAGGTGGGAGGAGCTGGAAATCAAGATGTCACTCAAATTCTAAGTTAAGAATTATCGTTTTTCATAAAATAAAATTTTGATTTCTTCATTTCAGATACTCGTTATTTGCTGTGGTTAATCATATAGGAACAATAGAAGTAGGTCATTATACGTGTTATATACGCTTACATAAAGACCAGTGGTTTAAGTGTGACGACCATTTAATAACTAAAGCAACTGTTACAGATGTACTTAATAGTGAAGGGTAAGTATTGGAAGCTCTTACGTCTGGGCTCCTTACCTGAGATATTTGTAGGGAGGTAGAGGCTGACTATGAAAAAGCATTCTGTTGTACCGATGGGACCATAAACAGAAGCCCTGTCGGCTTTAAGCTGTGCATTTTATATTTTCCTCAACAGTTGGAAATCGATAAGAGTTGGCTTTTGTTGCTGTCCTGGAAAAATTTCCCTCCTTGATTAGCACAATCAATATTTTAAAAAAAAAAAGTAAGAAAAGGAAAGAAAGAACTATATTTTACAAGGATAACAAATTAGGTTCACAGTTAGAGATCCTCTCTACCAGCTGGTCTTCGTCCAAAATTCTTGGCATTGATCTTTCCCGGATTGTCCGTACCCATTTACAGCTGGGTTGACTCTGGAATTATGAGTGAGGATGACTTATTAGTGGTCATTGGACTTTCACGTGTCGATTGAGATCAGAATCCACAGCCGTCATTCACTCGATGTAACCAAGCGAATGAGGTCATGTAAAACTCTATTTCATTTTCTTTTCATTCTAGGTATTTGCTGTTTTATCATAAACAGATATTAGAGTACGAATGATGGCAAGTATTGGAATAGTGTGATAATTATTGCTCAAGTTATTAGACTCTACTACCTGATAGTAGGTCAGAGTTAAAAATGCACGTGCAGAGATTAGACCAGATGTAAACAAGAACAGTCTATTTTGTATTGGGTGGAGTAAGTGGTTGTGGAAATTTTGCAAATCTGATTTTAACTGTAAAAATTTTACAATGTTACTTTCAATTTTCACGACCAATTTTTTTGCTCATATAATCCAAAGCTCAAGTCCCAGATACACTAGTCATGTTTATGTTTGGAATTGTCAATGCATGTGCATTCTTGGACCGACTATACCCATCTACCTACCTTACATTTCTCATGACATAATACATAGCTTAGAGTCAGTATTATCATCTATAGACCAGTTGAGATGCTGAAAATAGTGGACCAGTCACCCCTTAATTCTTTAATGAACTCTTCCACACATGCATTTGCCTGTCAGCATAGTAGAAAGTGATGTATGTATAGAAGGATCCATTTGAAGAATTAGGGGTATTGAGTTATTACTGCCAGTCTTTAATTTCAATTGATAAATGTCAAAGTTAAAAGCTTTGCAAAGGTGATTGTTTGAAAAAGCGATTTTGCTTCCACGAGGTGTAAGATTATGTATCTACTAGGAAAATAACAAAGATAGAACATTGGTGAATGGTTTTGACGAAGATGTTTCCTGGATTTGTGTGTAAAGCACGTATCATGTGATGATTGTGAAGTTTTTGATTATAAAAACTGACATTAAAGTGATAGTGAATATCCTATCCTATTTCATACAGCTTTCGTGAAAAATGGGCCAAAGTTAAGGCTTTTGTAATAAGGTTCTGTTGGTGATGTGATTTGTAACGCTGTCGTTAGTTTCGAAGTGAGGATTTTCGAAGACTGATTTGATGTAATGCTTAGAAATGGGCCATTTTTCAATTCATTGGTAATTTACAAGAAAAGTTTCTTTCATAAAATCATAACTGATATTTTGTTTCAGTTGACTCGCCAAAGTTTAATTTTGTCCGCCATTTTGAGTCAATGAGTAGTAGAAAATCATGCAAAGATATTCATATACATCTGGGGACAATTCATTCATGATCACTCCACCTTTTTGAGGTGAACATCAGATACATCTGCCCACTGTTTCTTTTAAAACAATCAGATAAAAATTTGTCAAAAGTGATATTTTGAAATGAGAAACACTACATCAAATTGATCATTAATATTTTAGAAAAACTTGGGCCAGGTTTGTAGTTTCAATTGCTGTTTATTCTACTTAAAATAAAATTGGCTGATTGTGTATTATCATTATCTCAAAATAAGTATATGTGAACTGATTATATTTTGAAATAGTCCCTGGATGTGCATTAATAACTTTGACCTACTTTAACTTAGTCAGTCTAGGAGTTGTTGTATATATCAATGCTGGTTAAGCATTGCTTCACTACTAGTAGGATGAAACTCTCAGCTGGGAGTGGACGTAGTGAAGTTTTGAACATTCTGATTAAAATGCAGATCCAAATGATTTGTTTTGTGGTTTTTTTTTTATGGGTGACTTCATTTGCCATCTATGATCTGACGAAATTGTTATGCAGTTAGGTTCAAGTCAGTGAACTAATCAACCAATCCAATGCTCTGTTAAGAGATATTTTCTGACACTAATTGAGGAAATCATTAGGTGACAATTTAACTGAATAAGATCATGGAAGCATGTGTAGTTACTTACAGAAAAAACACGAAACATAACTTGATCTGTATTTTAAGTTGATTAAATTTGTAAGTTTGTATTTGAGTTTACCTTCTATGTCAGAAGACATATCCCTTATTGTGATAGAATGCATGTTTGATGTCTATAAATAGAATTATTGATTTTTGTTGATCAAGAGCATGAATGGCAGAATTCAGTGAATTTTTTATTTCGTTCATTAAACTTATCTCTTACTAGTGTTTCGGAGATATTAAAAAGTAAAAAAAAAATATAGAAAATGTAGAAAAAATAATAAAAAAACACAATGTTTAAGAATCAAAATAATGGTGAGAGGGATAACTAACTTTAACCCTTTGAACCCTGAATGTAAATGAAACAACGTCATTTACCCTGAACTCCAAGTAATAAAAGTAAAAGCGTATGATGTTAATGTTGTATGATGTCACTTAGCAACGGCCGGTATGCCGGCTGCTCGGGTATATATTGCGTTAGTGTGTGGCCGGTATACCAGCAACTAGGGTTGAAAGGGTTAAAAGAGAAGTACTGGTATGCACCAAGGGAGCACACTCTCATTCTCACAGCCAGCCTAAAAACTTAATTATCTTGCATTTCTGTTTAAAACGCTACGGAAAAATTTCCTGTGCCATTTTCTAAAAATGAAAATAGAACAAGACACAAAATAAATTATGTGTTTCAGATACTTTTAGCAAAATTCAGAATCACATGAGTAGTCGCTAATTAGATCAGCTCCACCTTGAGTTGCAGAGATTCTCTGGAGCCTTTTACACACTATTCCTGCTCCATGAAGTAGATATGAAAAAAAAAACTGAAAAAAAAAACGTGTTGATCACGAAAATTTGTTAAAAAGATAAAAAAAAAGAATGTGTAAGAATTGTAGATATTGTAATTTATTATGTTATTTTCTGTTTTTTTGGGGAAAGTTGAAAATAGTTGAGCGCAAATTCAGAACCAGTCACTTGGGTCAATTTCGGAAAATACTTTTCAGGAAATAAAAGCAAAGGTTATTTGTCTTTAGCCTCAATACATTGTTCGTTCACGAAAAAATTTAGGCGTGCCTATATTTACTTCTTGATAAGATATGGCATGGTCCGTAGGCACAAAGCATTTTGCTTATAATACAGGCACAGAAACATTTTTGGTTGCTGATAAAATCGACTCAAATTATGAATAAAATCTCACGTGTGCCCAAGCTTTCACGACAAGATTATCACATTTAGCCTATATGATTTATAATATCAAAACAAATATCACTGATTGTTTTATCGTCTGCATGATGTGCCTGTGCCCATAGCTGAGGGAGAACTCATGACAACACTCTAGTCGGTGACAAAAATTGGGGACCAAGATCGTTCGTCTGTTTTCAAAATTGGTCTAAGTGACTGGGATTAGAGTGAAAGGTCCTGTATCTGAGATATATTTGAAATTTGATTGCATTAGAATTGCCAATTAGTATATTTTCGAAGTGAAATTTTTGAAATAATTCTGAATTTTGACATTATTTTATAGGTTTTTTATTTTCTGTATGATTTGTTTTTTTTTTTTTATAAAAGTGCTAAAATTTGTTGGTTTATAATCTAGGAGTTCAGGGTCCTGCATACTTAAGATTAATCCTGTATTAATCCTGATATAAAACAGGTACTATTATTAATCTGTCTAATAACACTAAAAATTACTGTGAAATTATCAGAAGGAAATGTGTATAGTGTCTATATGTTGTAAGGGCATTCACTGTGTTTGAAATTTGCCAAACTATATGTTTTGAAACTTGTAAAGCCATGTGTTTGAAAATTGTCAAACCATGTGTTTGAAACTTGTGTCAAGCCATGTGTTTGAAAATTGTAAAGCCATGTGTTTGAAAATTGTCAGGCCACATGTTTGAAAATTGTCAAGCCACGTGTTTGAAACTTGTAAAGCCACGTGTTTGAAAATTGTCAAGCTGTGTCTTTGGAATTTGTCAAGCTATGTGTTTGAAAATTGTCAAGCCATGTGTTTGAAAATTGTAAAACCATGTGTTTGAAAATTGTCAAGCCACGTGTTTGAAAATTGTCAAGCCACGTGTTTGAAACTTGTAAAGCCAAATGTTTGAAAATTGTCAAGCCGTGTCTTTGGAATTTGTCAAGCTATGTGTTTGAAAATTGTCAAGCTATGTGTTTGAAAATTGTCAAGCCATTTGTTTGAAAATTGTCAAGTCATGTGTTTGAAAATTGTCAAGCTATGTGTTTGAAAATTGTCAAGTCATGTGTTTGAAACTTGTAAAGCCATGTGTTTGAAAATTGTCAAGCCACGTGTTTGAAAATTGTCAAGCCATGTGTTTGAAACTTTTCAAGCCATGTGTTTGAAAATTGTCAAGCTATGTGTTTGAAAATTGTCAAGCCATGTGTTTGAAAATTGTTAAGCCATGTGTTTGAAGATTGTTAAGCCATATGTTTGAAAATTGTCAAGCCATGTGTTTGAAACTTGTAAAGCCATGTGTTTGAAAATTGTTAAGCCATGTGTTTGAAAATTGTCAAGCCATGTGTTTGAATATGGTCAAGCCATGTGTTTGAAAATGGTCAATCCATGTGTTTGAAAATTGTCAAGCCGTGAGTTTGAAAATGGTCAAGCCGTGTGTTTGAAAATTGTCAAGCCGTGAGTTTGAAAATTGTCAAGCCGTGAGTTTGAAAATGGTCAATCCATGTGTTTGAAAATTGTCAAGCCGTGAGTTTGAAAATGGTCAAGCCGTGTGTTTGAAAATTGTGTCAATTTCTAATACTGTCCTCTCAATTTGTTATGTAAAAATACCTTTCACTTTTTTTTTTGCCTCCAATTCTTAATTTATTTTGTAAGTAATTATTTTTGTTCGTTATTTATTGAGTCCAACGATAGTAACCTCAGTTTGAAACTTACAGATTCGATCTGATAGTTTTTATTGATGGAGGTCAGTCTGAAACTTGCTGACTCTATATCTGATAGTTATTATTGACAGAGGTCAGTCTGAAACTTGCTGACTTTATATCTCTCCTTCGATAGTTAAAAAAAATCGCAATTCTTAATGTGTATATGGGACACTGATGGCATCATTCCCATTATCAGTCAGATGTCTTGCAATATTTCTAAAACTAAGCCCTTTACAACTTCCCAAAAGGCTATGACGAAGGGCCTCTACAGCAGTGAATTTCAAGAAACACAGACCTAAGAGTCAGTAAGTTTTAGACTACTACTACTATGATAACTATCAGTGGCTAGACAAGAGTCAGCAAGAATCAGACTGGTACAATATCTATCAGAGAGTGACTATGATCAGCAAGTGTCAGCTATGATTAGTTATGTATGTAATTAGTAATGTTAATATGAAATTGGTAATGAATGTTATATTTTGTAAATTTGTTAATTTTTGTAAGTCATTGAGCAGTAGAACTGTGAATTTAACTCCAATTTTGTATGAATCTTTAAAAAATAAATCCTAAGATGACGTTCAGAGGTGGAGATACATTTAATAATAAATGAAAAGTAAGAGGTTGTCTAAATTTTTTGTGTGCATCAGGGACACAGATGGCATCAATTTGAACCATTCCAATTTTCAATAAGACGTCTGTGGTTCTTGCAGTTCTACTAAAACTAAGTGTTTGATGTCGTCACTAATCACAAAATTTGCTTTATCACATAAGGACCTTCGTGATTATCTACTTCATCATACAATTAGTTTTAGAGGAATTGCAGGAACCACAGATGTCTGATTGAAAATTGGAATCATACAAGTTGATGCTATGAGTGTCTCCGATACACAGAATATTTAGAAAACCTCTGTACAATCTCTTTAATGTAACACATTTATTAGTGTTTTTCCAGAAACTGTTAGGTTTAACATATAGTGGTTATGGTAGAATTGTCTTCAAATAATATTTTAAAATTCATTATATTTCTGCTTGAATCGTTGTTAATTTTAAAGACAGAATGTTTCCGATATAAAATAATCAAAATGTTGGTTAAAAGAAAGAGTACTAAAACAAAGAAATTCTAATGCAATCGAGTAAAAGGTATAAGTTAAGTTGAACTCAATTCAAACAAAAATTGTGTCAGATTAATAGGAAGGGAGTGATGTAACCTATACAAAAAATAAACAGAACGAGTGAAATAGCCCACAGAAAAAAAAGAAAACAAACTATCTGGAGTGAGTTAGCCCACAGAAACAAACAAATATGAATTATCTCCAACTGTTTTAAAATGTATCGATAAAAATACAGATTTGGATGTTCAGTTTAATGTTTTTGCCACAAGTTACTACACTGGATGGCAAGTGAGTTACCCAAAGAAAAAACATGAAACAAAACATTCAGATAAACATTTAAATCAGAATGCTTGAAAGCCAGGCCATTTATTCTCAAAACAATCTTAGCACTAGGATATCCTTGATTCTGTGTTAAGAGTTGAGTTTGTTGAGTTCGTAGGATATCCTAGTGCTAAGACTGTTTTGAGAATACGTGGCCTGGATGTGGATGAATTCTACCTGTCTGAATTAACGTGTATTCTATTATGATTATTATTATTATTATTATTATTAATCAGAATCTTGCAGTGACTGTGATGTATTGTAAAAGAATAAAAATATTCATCCATTGTCATGTTCGTTCGTTTTTGAAAAATTTGGTGTCTTTGAAACCTGCCTTAAGTACATCGTCATGAGTAGGTATGCCCTTTCTTTCTACATCAATCAGCCCTCGCATAGTTATTACTGTCTCTGAATTCTCTTTGACAAAATTTACCCATCATTTTCATGTGAATTCCAATTCAAAATACCTGTAGTATAATATTTAAATATTCCCAGACAACTGATGTAGAACAGATAACTTAAAGGGATCTTAAAAATGAAATGGAGTTTTACGCCCTACTTTTCTGCACCATGTGGGCTAATGAAGACGGGCAACGCCATGCAGGGTGCAATGAGGGAAATTTTGCCAGGACAGCTAAAGGGATCGTAAAGAAGTTTTATAAATTTTGTATGTGTATTAGCGACACTAAGATAGAACTGCAGACGTCTGATTGAAAATCGGAATGGTGCAAATTGATGCTATCAGTGTCCCCAAAACGCATACAAAATTTAGAATAGATCTTTACAATCTCTTCAACACAGAAAGCAGACCATGCTTACTATTTCGAAAACACCTGATGGTACTTTTATTTTGAGGAGTCCACTACTATACTACCTTTACTATTGATTTTGCCATTCTTTTGACGAGATTTTGATTAATGGAATTCTCTGGCTCGTACAAATTTTATTACTGTCTCCTTTTTGTCCACCATTGCACACATAGCTTTACCTCTTTATGTCTAATAGCCACAGTAATAAAAGCTATAATATTGTTATTGAGAAGTATGTATAATAAATCAATATTATGATCAGGTATTTGATGTCCTATCAATCAATATGTATTGATTATTGATTAGGTTGTATTAATAACTACAACTTCTAGAAATTACCTCAAATATTCATTAATAATATTACATTGTATTTAAACATAATAATAATAACTAGCTTAATGAAACGGAGACTGGCTGAATGAAATCAACAAGTTTGATGTTGTTCAGAATCAAAGTCCAGCAATACCATGTAGTGAACAATGAAGTAAATTATAAATTGTACTTCACATGATCAACCCCGTAGCCCTTAGAACTATTTGGCCCCTTCCTGGAAAATTTAGATGATTTGAATTACTTCTCGAGTCACATAGTTGAGCCCCTTTAAAAGATTTTTTTTTTTTTTAAAGACATCTTTCACATGTGATTCTTGCAATTCTACTAAAACTGAGTGTTTTTTGGGTCACTATTACAAAATCTGCTAATGTTATGTAAGGCCTTTGCGATAAAGACGTCATAAAATGCTTAGTTTTAGTGGAATTGCAGGAACCACAGACGTCCGATTGAAAATTGGAATGGTGCAAATCAATGCTATCAGTGTTCTCTGATACACATAAAATCTTGCTTGTATCTTGTTAAATTTGTGAAACAGGTATCAGGAAGTGTAATTGTAAGGAAATCCTGCAACCATCTTGGTCATTAAATGTTTTCAAACAAATTCCTGAACAGGTAGGCCATACGTCAAGATTTGAAAATGTTAAGTTTTGCAATTTTTGAATATTGTCATAAACCCTGATAGGGCCCTAGGGGGTTATAGAAATAATGGCTTGGATATACCAGAGCCTAGACAAGGCATTGAGTGAGTCTTTGAAAATGTACAGGTATACAGTTTTTGGGGAAGGAAATCATTAACGGGTAACCCTGATAGGGCCTCAATTATGTTAAATTCATTATCAAGTGAAAACCACCGAGAGCATAACGTCAAGTTTAAAAGGTAAAACGTCAGAAGAAATAGTTGGGTAACCCTGATAGAGCCTCAACTAAGTGTACCGAGTGTTGGCCTACTTTCATCTCGCCTCGTTTCCACATGACAACAACTATGCTATGGCGGAATGCCTTTCAGAACATATTGGCACCATGAGAGAATCGCAGTTTCTTAGTGAAAATAATGGAGATATGTGCGACACAGCTTCCCAAGGGAGTCGAGATGAATATATTGAAAGGGATCCTAACTTTGTGGAGGACAGATTTCGTGTGGATCGAAAAAAACTGGAGCAAATGTTACAAGGTAAGCTGAAGTTCTATTGACAGAATTTGTCTTTGAGTTGCAGGATATATTGGCACTGTAGTGGAATTACTTGATTTCCGTTTTACATCACAGTATGGAAATTTACCGAATCTTAAAATCTGAATATTGAACACATTTTTTTTTGTTAGAATTTAATACGTTATTGTATAGAAACGTGTATATCTTACAACATTGTGGTCTATTGTTGAACATTGTTAAGAATTAAAGACGGAAAATAAAATTAAAACTTGAACATGAATGAAAAAGTTTATATAAAATTATACCAAGTGTCGGTATTAAATTTTTGCAACATTGTTGCACATTGTGTAACATTTATTGCATCATTGATATTTTTCTGTGAATTGAAAGTTATAAAGTTTTAAGAAAATAATCTTGAAGATATAACTTAATAATAACAGTTATCAAGCTGGGATAAAAAAATACAACATAAAAATAAAAGTGGGCTATAAATAAAGATTTTAATGTTAACACTGCTGATAGTTTTTTAAAAAAAATTCTTTTTCTGATCAATATATACCTATCCTATATAACATTCAAGGTACAATATTCCAGTCAAGTTTGGTCTGTTATAAGTTAAATGGCTGTCTATTCAGTCAGGCTGCATTCCGTGAAAAAGATTGCAGGGAAAACCCACGAGAAAACCACAAAATAGTTAAGATTTATAGTGGGAAGGGGGTAATATTAATGATTTATGGAGGGAAGTGGGGTAATAGTAAGGATTTATAGGAGGAAGGGGGGTAATAGTAAGAATTTATAGGAGGAAGGGGTAATATTAATGATTTATAGAGGGAAGGGGGTGATAGTAATGATTTATATAGGGAAGTAGTAATGATTTATAGGGGAAGGGGGTACTAGTAATGATTTATAAAGGGAAGGGCGATATGCAATTAATGAAGGATCCTTGAAAGGGGTAAAAGAAAGAAAAAGGTTAGAAATCCCTGGATTAGATAGAGAAAAAAAAACTTCTAAAGATGAAATTGAAAGTACTCAAGTGATTAAATTGTTTAAAAATAGAGAAATAATGAGGAAACTTGAGACTGAGATTAGAAACAAACAGGTGATTGAAATCTTTCGTAAATTATTTTTAACGTAAATTATTTTTAACGTAAATTGTTTTTAAGGTAATTTATTATGTTAGTGTTAGGTCCAACTTGTTGATATTTGACAGGTAAAGTTTTACAACTCCAGCTTGTATGTTTTTCAATATTTTCTTTTCAAATTTCATCAACATTAGTACTTAAAATTCTCTTTAGTTTTTCTTACTTACTGAAAAGGTGTAGGATCTACACTGTTGGTACATTAAAGTGATACTACGTCTTAGAATGAACATAAAATTTAAGTTCTCAAGAATGGTCAACATGAGTCTATATTCATCAGTGAACTTACCTGGTGTCATAAAGTTACAACAGAATCCCTGTAAAATCTGGAAAATTGTAAGGGGGGGAGGGGCAGAACTGTCTCCAGTTGCTGAATTATAAGCAGAAAAGAAGGAGACAGAACAATAATTAAAGGGATTATAATGAGGTTTTCTAAGTTTTTATGTGGGGACACGTATAGCATCAATTTACACCATTCCAATTTTCAATCAGATGTCTGTGGTTCTTGCAATTCGACTGAAACTAACACGTTTTATGACGTCACTAGAGGGGAGCTACCTGAAGCTACAGGTCCTGTCTAGTGACATCATAAAACACGTTAGTTTTAGTGGAATTGCAAGAACCACAGACGTCGGAATTGGAATGGTGCAAATTGATGCTATCAGTGTCCCCTATACACATAAACATTTTAGACAACCTATTTACAATATCTTTAAGTTAATAGTGAGACATATATCTAATACCCCATATTTATCATCTTGGCAAAATTTCCCTCATTGCACATGGCATGTCATCACCAGTCTTCAGCAAAGAGAACTTAAAAGTGGGATGTAATCGTTGACCTACACTTTTATCCAAATCACCCATCTTGACTTAACAAAATTTCCCTCATTGCACATGCAAGGCATAGCCGTCAGGAGTAAGATGTGTTACTCCGTTTAATCCGCCATTTTGGCCTATACTTTATCAAGACAGCGTCATTTAAACCCAGAAAGAAGAAAATGTCAGAAGTTTTTCCTGCATGTTAAATTGTGAGAAATAAAAAACCAAGAAGTTCCTTTCTTGAAGTCAATGTGTTATTTTTAATATAAACCATATTTTCTTACAGTTTCACACGTTCATTTCATAATACATATAAACACAATAGACGTTTTTATTTAGGCAAATCGTATCAACACAGATCAAAGTGTGCATTTATACAAGCGAGCGCCTATAACGATTTGCCTACAATAAACATTTTTTTAGCGATTTGGCTAAGCAGTTATCCAATCGTGGTTCACTCTGCTTTGGTCGATTTGTTTGAGATTCAGGATGGCGAGAAACATTGACAACAAGTAAAAACATTATAGGAATAATAAAAAATAGAAAGATCTGAAGAAAATTGAATTCCATTGGCAGATTTTACTTTTCAATAATCAGTGTATTGGGATTATTGAGAAGTAAACAAGTAAACACGTAAACATGCAACCCGGTAATGGCAATTTATTTGACACCATTTGTACCACGTGCTGATAATCAACCATCAAAGCGAGTTGATACGATTATCTTCAATAAAAACTAGAAAAAATAGAAACCAGTGCAATAGGGTGTCGTCTGCAACTTACAATCAAACATTTCAATTGTAAGTTGGGTTGTCGAATATGGCGTCATTATGGCTGAAGCAAACTGAAGTTCATAATACTTGGAAAATGGGGTAGAACCTATTTTGAAACCATGTGAAGTCTGTAGTACCGTACTGTAGTAAATTTGAACAAATGTTGAAATTCTACTGATTTCTTGTGAAATGTTTTTTTGATAATCGGCGGTCATAGTGAGTTGATACCATTTGCTTCAAATAAAATGTTTAATGAAACCAGTGGGATAGGTTGTCGTCTGCAACTTACTATCAAACCTTTCTATAGCAAGTTAGGTTGTTGAATATGGCGTCATTTTTCGCTATGACAATTTGGCTTAACTTCTTTTGAATCCATGTGAAGTCTGTAGTAGTGGGCGCTGTAGTAAATTTGAACAAAATGTTGAAATGTAACTGATTTCTTGTAAAATATTTTGTAAATATAAAAGTTGAAAAGTTTGTATTGTATGTACTGATTCAACCTAAAGTAACATGATTCATTCACCATAGTGTGAGAGACCTGTACACTAATATGACTTACTTGGAACATGATTTTTCTCTGTTAAATTCAGACTAGACAGAATAATTAGAACCAGAAAATAGGTGGAAGTCTATAGATATTGGTATTAAATAAATAAACGGGTGATCATATTAGCTTTGTGGACTCTCTGAAAGGGATAGACCAAATATCGAATAAACAAAATTAGCTTTGTGAACTCACTGAAATGGATGCTGAGTTGACAAACCTAAAAACCATTTAAAGATAGCTTTGATACTCTTTACTGACCAAACCATTAAAGAAGTCATAAAAAAAATTCAAATGTCAATTACACATAGCTTGTATCAAAATGGTTATAAGAGCTAATATTTCTAAACATAAAGAACATAAAAAATGAGAAAGATGGTAAAATATTGAAACTAAACTGACTGACTATCTGTCAAGTTTAACAGATGAAGATCTAGAAGAGTGATTGTAAACCACAAGATATTATATTCTAGATGTTCTAATAACTGATTGTACTTCAATATAACTCATGTCAGAATTTATTTTAAATAGGATTTATGTCATAAATATACCAAATATGTCAGCTATGTGGACTCTCTGAAAGGGATGCCAATTTAACACACCAAATACCAAATAAACAGTATTAGCTATGTGGACTCTCTGAAAGAGATGTTGAGTTGACAAACCTAAATACCAAATTAACATTATTAACTATGTGAACTCTCAGAAAGGGATGCTGAGTTGATTGACAAACCTAAATACCAAATAAACAGTATTAGCTATGTGGACTCTCTGAAAGAGATGTTGAGTTGACAAACCTAAATACCAAATTAACATTATTAACTATGTGAACTCTCCGAAGGGGATGCTGAGTTGATTGACAAACCTAAATACCAAATAAACAGTATTAGCTATGTGGACTCTCTGAAAGAGATGTTGAGTTGACAAACCTAAATACCAAATTAACATTATTAACTATGTGGACTCTCAGAAAGGGATGATGAGTTGACAAACCTAAATGGCAAATATACATAATTTGTCAAGTTGACAAACCAAATACCAAATAACTTTTATTAGCTATGTGAACTCTCTGAAAGGGATGCCATTGCCAAGTTAAGAACCAAGTAAGTAATGAACATTATGTAGGTATCAGGTGATGGAAATATGAGCGATTGCCTTATGAGCATTAGACCTACATTACTCATCATAGCTAAAACTATTTGCTGCACATAAAGAATGGTGGTGTGCAATTTATTAGAAAATTATTGAGTAGAAATGGAAATATGAAATAAAAAGTTCTAAGACTTCTCTAAACCTGATTTTACATCAACAATATCAGGACTTATGAAGGCTGGAAGTGTTCAATGAGGGAAATTTATTATAATAGAGTAGACACTGTAGATCATTGAGTAGAAAGGGAAATACGAAATAAAAAGTTCTAAGACTTCTCTAAACATGATAAATATTATATCAACAATATCAGGACTCTACAAGTTGAACATGTGCTTTTCATATTGCAACAATGAGTTCATTCAGGCCGTGTTATCAACCCTGCTTACTTTATCATTTTAATAGGGTGGAAACTTCTAAACTCAAATATCTCAATCTTCAAACAGTGGTAAACATGCAATATTTCTGACCTAATTTTATTTATTTCTATTTAATGAAAAGATTAAATTTATCAGAACTGTAAAGAGATTTTCAGAACTATTTATGTGTATCACGGACACTGATATCATCAATTTATACCATTTCAATTTTCAGTCAGTCAGTCTGTGGTTCTTGCAATTCCACTAAAATTTGATGACTCCAGTTCATTTATGTTCAGTGTCTTGTTTTAGGTTCTGAATCTTATTTCATGTTCAGTGTCTTAAACAGTGTCTTATTTCGTGTTCAATGTCTTATTCCATGTTCAGTGTCTTATTTCGTGTTCAATGTCTTATTTCATGTTCAGTGTCTTAAACAGTGTCTTATTCCATGTCTTATTTCGTGTTCAATGTCTTATTCCATGTTCAGTGTCTTATTTCATGTCCAATGTCTTATTTCATGTTCAGTGTCTTATTTCGTGTTCAATGTCTTATTTCGTGTTCAATGTCTTATTCCATGTTCAGTGTCTTATTTCATGTCCAATGTCTTATTTCGTGTTCAATGTCTTATTCCATGTTCAGTGTCTTATTTCATGTCCAATGTCTTATTTCGTGTTCAGTGTCTTATTTCATGTCCAATGTCTTATTTCGTGTTCAATGTCTTATTCCATGTTCAGTGTCTTATTTCATGTCCAATGTCTTATTTCGTGTTCAATGTCTTCTTCCATGTTCAATGTCTTATTCTGTGTTCAATGCCCTTATTCCATATCCATTGTCTTATTCCGTGTTCAATGTCCTTATTCCATGTTCAATGTCTTATTTCATGTTCAGTGTCGTATTCAGTGTTCAATGTCTTATTCTATGTTCAATGTGTTATTCTATGTTCAGTGTCTTCAGTTCATATTCAGCTTTTTATACGAACATGTGAACAGTAACTGCAACTGTTCATTCATTGGTCAGGACAAGTAAATCAAGCCACGTATAAGATTTTCTCAGATGCCGTAAGCACATAGAACTCACTGATAAACTAGCTGCTAGTTAACTTGTTTAAACCTTAATTGACTGAGCCACCGCCACTGCAGTTCTTTCTGTGATTGACAAGACAGATCAATCTATATTAAGCTGAAGAGTTCTATAAATAGGGGAGATAATTATGATATTTATTGTTATCATTAATACATACGTTCTCCGTTAGATTTACGATAAAATTCTTGGCAATTTTCAGAATTATTCAGATGGTGTGTTATCTTTAACCAGTTCAGTGACATGACTTTTAGTCTTCGAATGCACTGAAGAATATAATGGTCTAAATTGAATGAGAAAAGTGTGTAAGACTTGAAACGTATTTAGAGGGTGAACCCAGCCGAATCGCCAGGAATGAACTGATGCTGGGGCTCAAATTTTGCAGAATTATAGGCTCGCAGAACTCATCTCTGCTGAACTGAAGTAGGTTTTGCTGGGGCCAAATCCCCAAGGACCCAACCCTAAGGACGGAGCTGGGATGGCCATGCAATTGGGCCCACCCCACCCCCTCAGACCAGGCCTGTGAAAGGTATGGGTACTTTGTGAATTTTGCCTCAAAGAGATAACTCTCATTTTTGCCCTATCCCCTCCCTTTTGGCAATTTCTAGAAACGCCCCCGACTAAAGAGCAGGCTGTGGGCAAGAAACAAACTGAGAGAGCGCGGTTTAGCATTGGGCTGGGGACCCTGTGAAATCCATTGATCCAGAGCAACTCAGTCTGACCTTCAGTAAGGTAACGATTTTCCTTTTGTCAGGGACAGGTTGGAGGCACTAATATAAATAAACACCCAGTCAGCAATATACTACAGTCAGCCCTACAGGCTGTGCATACACAAGATCTCTCACGACAGTTGGAAATTTAAAAGTTATGGGCTAATTCTGCTACCTTACCAATATTGTAGCTTCCTCAGTCATAGTTCAAAAATAATCAGAGCATCTTTGTAGTGTTGTAGATAACATCTCATGCATCACTGCAATGGTTTTAGTCAACTATGCATACCTTTCACACTCGACAAAACTAATAATGTTCCTTACGAAAATGTACTTGAAGACACCCAATTCCAAATTGGCACACAAATCATGTAGAGAACAATATAACAATATTTCATTTATTAAAATCAGAAAACCAATACCACTGATACCAAACGATAGTTTAATTTTATCATTTACTACAGAAATAAAACAAATAAAAGATAGAAACATGAAAACTGAGAATTATGTTTTGTTATAAATAATGTTATTCTGTATTTATTTAATATTATCAGATGTTTGGTTTGGTCTGTATGTAATATATTACTGTATATACATGGTATATTCAAATAACTAAATAATCAGTCTGTACTGAGATACTTCAGTAAATAACTGTCTAGATGCCTTGTTGATTTGATAATGCTGTTTTGTTTCTGGTTTTTTCTGTGGGTCACTCAACTATTTATTCATGATCTGAAGAAATTGTTGTTAGAATCGTGTTGTATTCTGTTTCTTACAGTTACACAATTGATTTTTAACTTGTAATTTAAAACGACTTCTAAATACCAGTCTGATTAAAAATACTGTCTTGTTTCTGGTTTTTTCTGTGGGTCACTTCACACACCCCCAATGATCTGAAGAAAATGTTGTTAGTAACTATTTTTTGCACCGTTGATTTTTAACTTGTAATTTAAAACGACTTCTTAATACTGCCTTGTTTCTTTTGATTTCTTTGAGTCACTTCACACACCCCAATGATCTGAAGAAATTGTTGTTAAAATTGTTTTCAGTTAAATTTTTACACAATTGCTCTAAAATTGATCACAAATTATGCCAGTAAATCACTGTTAAAAGTGGACTGATAATAATTAATGTTATATGCACAATACCATGGCATCCTTGCAAGACATTACAAAAATACTTAAAAATCTATAGCATCTTTTGCCATAGTGATGTCACAAAACATCATAAAACACTTAGTTTTAGTTAAATTACAGGAACCACAGATGTCTAATTGAAATTTGAAATAATGCAAATTGATGCCAATGTCCCTGACGCACCTAAAAAGTAGAAAAACTTTTCACAATACCTTAGCAAGTTTTTATTATATATTTCAGCACCAGACAGCTATGATGATGATGAAGGTGCTGAAGATTTTTTCCAGAGGGTAAGTTTCAGTATTTTATTTACTTAAACTTCTATTTTCGATGATTCCATGTTTCTGGTATGAAAGCCATCATCAGGACTGTGTGTTGGGATGAGGGTTTGAGTGTAATACGCAGTTTTAGTAGTTGTGTTTGTAAGCTAATCATAACGTAACAGGTAACTGGCAAATGAATTAAATCAGCAACTCTCACAAACCAACTGTCAGAGCTATAGTCAGACATGACTGGTAAATGCAATCAAATCAACAATCTAGAGCTATAGTCATACACAGGCCTGTAGCTAGCCCAAGGTCTCAGGGGGGGGGAGGGGGCAAATTTTTGGAAGGGGGACTCAACTATAGTGGCTCAACAAGTCATTTAAGTCATCTTAATTTTTCAGGGGGGGGGGCGAAAATTTTCTAAGGGGGGGCCAGCCCCCCCTCCACTGGCCTCCCTCTAGCTACGGGCCAAGTCAGATATGACTGGTAAATACAGTAAAATCAACAGTGTACAGTTTTAGTCAGAGATGACTGGTAAATATTGATATATCAACAGTCTAGAGTTCTAGTCAGACATGCCTGGTAAATATATTCTAATCAACAGTCTAGAGTTCTAGTCAGACATGACTGGTAAATATATTCTAATCAACAGTCTAGAGTTCTAGTCAGACATACCTGGTAAATATATTCTAATCAACAGTCTAGAGTTCTAGTCAGACATACCTGGTAAATATATTCTAATCAACAGTCTAGAGTTCTAGTCAGACATGACTGGTAAATATATTCTAATCAACAGTCTAGAGTTCTAGTCAGACATGACTGGTAAATATATTCTAATCAACAGTCTAGAGTTCTAGTCAGACATGCCTGGTAAATATATTCTAATCAACAGTCTAGAGTTCTAGTCAAACATGACTGGTAAATATATTCTAATCAACAGTCTAGAGTTCTAGTCAGACATACCTGGTAAATATATTCTAATCAACTATCTATAGCTAACTGATATACCTGATGAAACAAATCAACATTCTACAGCTTTAGTCAGACATAACTGGTAAACAACAACACAATAACATCCCTGTAGAATTATGAATTATAAAAACTATCAAGGTGTGTGTATGAAATTTACAAGTGATGACAATCTCTAACTGATATACCTGATGAAACAAGAAGATAGGAAACCACTTAAATTTTAAAACCTGATTATTAGTGAAGATTTGTTCTTATCATCTGCACTATATAGATAAGCCACTACTGATTTACTGTTTAAAAAACTGATGTTTTACTGAAATTTTCATGTAAAATGCCAAGTTTCTTGCAATTTTTTGGTTTATTTTTTTTAAAACTCAGCAGTTGAAAAGCTTTGATGTTTTAGTCATATTTGCATGTAGATTGCCAATCTTAGAACTCTTGATAATTTTTTAGTGGTCAGTGAAGACTATTACTTGTAAACAAATTTATTTCTTACTAATACTGAAATTTATGAAAAACCAAACAATATACAAATAAAGAAAAAGGAGGAGAATGGGGAGGAGGAGAATGGGGAGGAGGAGAATGGGGAGGAGGAGAATGGGGAGGAGGAGAATGGGGAGGAGGAGAATGGGGTGGAGGAGAATGGGGAGGAGGAGAATGGGGTGGAGGAGAATGGGGAGGAGGAGAATGGGGAGGAGGAGGAGAATGGGGAGGAAGGAGGAGAATGGGGAGGAGGAGGAGAATGGGGAGGAGGAGAATGGGGAGGAAGAGGGAAACCAAAATAATCAATTGATGATAACAAAGCATTTGCTGTGGCCCTTCTCTGGAACGAATGAAGTCACGTGACTAATCATGTGATCAATCGGACCACAGAATGTATTATTTACAATAATATTTATTTGTGTCCCCTCTTGCTCCCCTAATAATACTAACACAATAGGATATCATCAAAGATGGTTTCCCTTATTTTCATTTATGAAAATAGAAAAGTTAATACTTATATGAATAGAAAGAAGAGGTGTTCTAATGACTTGGAAAAATATCAGTTTGTCTCACATGTCCATAATTAATTCATAATTAGCTAAATTAGAAGAGAATTACCAGCAGAATTCCAATGAGTGACCGATCAAGAAAGGTCAAAAAGTCTTTTATTGTTTATCCAGACTGTACCTACAGGGACAATTATGACTGGTTAAAACTCTTAATTATATGCAATAAGAACATAATGATATGATTAAGAATACATGATAATTCATAACAAACACCAATTAATCTAATAGTTTGCTTAATTTGTCACTAAAAATTAGGAAACCCCATCTTTAAACAACTATGATATACACTTAGACAACTGATGTATCACATTAGCCAGTACTGTAGATTTCCAATCTTACAATATACGTTATTGATGGTTGAGTCTGCTCTGTTTTGAGACCGCGTCTATGAGGTAAGCC